AGACCCTGCTTAGTCTTACACTGGTCGCCCCTGCTGGCCTCATTTCTCCCCTTCCCCCCAAAACCATAGTCATCCTATACCAACTGAAGCCCCCATAGTGGATGCTGTTGATGCCCTACAGCCACCCTTTAGCAGGTGTAGCACCAATCCCCTAGCTGCTGTGAGCATGGCCTAACAGCTCACAGCTTCCCCTTCCCCAGTGCCTGCACAAACCCTCAGACCCAGCCCAGCTAGTAACCCACGGTCACAGAGCTACAAAAGGCCAGCCCCACAGTGAGATAAACTCATGGTGGTATTTAAGTTCCCAGTTCCCCACGGGATCAGGCTGAGGCTAGATTCCAGCTGACAACACCTCTTTGCTTAGTTCTTTTTCTCTGTCCCACCCGGCTTCCTTCACCCCGCCTCTGCTAAATACCCTCCCCAGCAAACCTGGTGCACAAGAATCCTCACAGCAGGGTCCAAGCTCCCAGTCCCCAACCAAGGGCCAACTATGTTAACATCTTTACAAACAGGTGTGTTAGAAAGTGAGGGAGAGTCAGTAATGTATCCTCCAGACCAAGAAGGGACATTTTTATTTATTTTTTTTATTGTGTTCAGTTAGCCAACATTCAGTACATCATTAATTTTAACGTAGTGTTTATTCATTAGTTGCATATAACACACAGTGCTCATCACATCACATGCCTTCCTTATTGCCTATCACCAAGTTATCCCATCCCCCCACCCACCTCCCTTTCCGCAACCCTCAGTTTGTTTCCCTGAGTCAAGAATCTCATTTGGTTTGTCTCCCTCTCTGATCTCTTCTCACTCAAGTTTTCCCTCCCTTCGTCTATGGTCCTCTACACTATTAAGAAGGCACTTTAAGACAGAAAAACAAAGCAAACCTCTCCATAGCACTTACACAGAATTGTGTTCAGGGTAACTTACTGATGGGGAATTGGGCAGGTGACTATCCATGGGGTACACAGCCACTCTCCACAGCTACTCTCCACCCAGTCCAGATGCAATCCCAAGCTTTTATGGAGGAAAGGGCATGGTAGTGAGGTCGTAGGGTAGTTACCTACAGTGGGGCTGTCTGTGCGCCAGAGAACCTCTACTGGTTGCCTAAAGTGAGGCCTTCTGTGCATCACTTTAGAGAAGATCAGAACAAGCCTTCCCACTTCCCAGTCAGAGCATACATTAACCTCCATGGCGACCGAAACATGTAGTCCCCAGGAAGGTCAATGCCCAGGCAGGAGCAAGATGGAGGACCAAAGATGGAGTCAGTATTGTCAGCACTCCTACAAGGTGATATCCAAAGTATAAGATACCTGATCTAAGCAGGGCACTGACCAATCAGAATCAATGCTGGCTGTGAACCTCAGACAAGATCCAGGGGCCACCTCTGGTGCCAGCCACTAACCCATCAGCAGCTGGATCATGGGATATCTTATGGGAAAGGCTAGATATACAGTTGGCTTGGAGTCATGACCACTTGCCAACTAGAATGGAAATATTTCCATATCTTCTTAAGCTTAAGGTGTACAATATGTTGATTTGATATATTTATATATTGCAATCTGATGGCCACCAAAGCATTAGCTAACACCTCTATCATGTCACATAATTGCTAGATTTTGTTTCTGATGAGAACATTTAAGATCTAGTATCTTTGCAACTTTCAAGTATATAATACAGTATTGTTAACTATAATCATGATGCTATGCATTAGATCCCCAGAACTCACTCTTCTCCTAACTCCAAGTTTGTACCCTTTGGCCAATGTCTCATCACTTCCCCCACTACCCCCACTCCTGGCAATGGCCATCCTATTCTATTTCTACACGTTTCATTTTTTTAGATTTCCCATATAAGTGATATTATACAGCATTTATCTTTCTCTGTCAAACTTATTTCACTTAATGCCCTCAAGTTCCACCCATATTGTTACAAATGGCAGGATTTTCTTCTTTCTCATAGCTAAATAATATTCCAGTGTGTGTGTGTGTGTGTGAGAGAGAGAGAGAGAGAGAGAGATGTTCTTTATCCATTCATCCATTGATGGACACTTAGATTGTTTCCATGTCTTGGCTATTGTGAGCAATCCTGCGATGGACATGGAGGTGCAGATTATCTTTTTGATATTCTTTGATTATATATCAAAGAATTTTGGTTTTGATTTTCTATGGTTATATACCCAGAAGTGGGATCACCAGACCACACGGTGATTGTCCAAGAGAAATAAAAGCATATATCCATAGAAGGGCGCATACATAAATGTTCACAGCTGCTTTGTTCACAATTGCTGAATGCTGGACAGAGTTCAGACATCCATGGACAGACAGATAGGTCTATATGATGAAGGCAGGAACTACTAGGACCCTCAACAGTATGAATGAATCTCAAAGACTTTGTGCTGAGGAAAAGAAGCCAAACATAAAGGACACAAAAGAGTAAATACTCAAAGAATTCTATATTAAGGTTCTCCAGAGAAGCAAAAGCAACAGGAGAAGAATCCCAAGAAACGGGCTCTTCTGACTGTGGGAGCTGTCAAGTCCAAGATCTCTTGGCCAAGCCAACAGGCTGGGGACCCAGCTAAGAGTTGATGTTGCCAACGAGGATGTGGAGAAAGGGGAACCCTCCTACACAGTTGGTGGGAATGGAAGCTGGTGCAGCCACTCTGGAAAACAGTATGAAGGTTCCTCAAAAAGTTGAAAATGGAGCTACCTTATGACCCAGCAATTGCACTACTGGGTATTTACCCCAAAGATACAGATGTAGTGATCCAAAGGGGCACATGCACCCCAATGTTTATAGCAGCAATGTCCACAATAGCCAAACTATGGAAAGAGCCTAGATGTCCATCAACAGATGAATGGATAAAGAAGATGTGGTATGTATATACAATGGAATATTATGTAGCCATCAAAAAATGAAATCTTGCCATTTGCAACGATGTGGATGGAACTAGAGGGTATTATGCTGAGTGAAATGAGTCAATAAGAGAAAGACAAGTATCATATGATCTCACTGATATGAGGAATTTGAGAAACAAGGCAGAGGGTCATAGGGGAATGGAGGGAAAAATGAAACAAGACAAAATCAGAGAGGGAGACAAACCATAAGAGACTCTTAATCTCAGGAAACAAACTGAGGGTGGCTGGAGTGGAGAGGGGTGGGAGGGATGGGGTGGCTGGGTGATGGACATTGGGGAGGGTATATACTATGGTGAGCACTGTGAATTGTGTAAGACTGGTGAATCACAGACCTGTACCCCTGAAACAAATAATACATTATATGCTAATCAAAAAAAAAAAAAAAAAGAGTTGATGCTGCCATCTTGAGCCCGAAAGTTTGAATCTCAGGCAGGATTTCTAGGTTTCTATGTTCCAATCTGGAAGCAGAATTCCTTTTTCCTTGGGAAACCTCAGTTTTTGTTCATAAGGCCTTCAACTGATTAAATGATACCTACCCACATTATGGAGGGTCATCAGCTTCTCTCAAAGTCCACTGATCTCAATGTTAATCACATCTTTAAAATACCTTCACAGAAGCATCTAGACTTGTGTTTGACCACACAACTGATCACCAGACTCCAGCCAAGCAGACATATAAAATTAACCATCACACAGTCCAACAACAGGAAATTCTAGAAAATTCTGAAGGGAGGCAAGATGGCAGAAGAGTAGGGGACCTCGTTTCATCTGGTCTCCTGAATTTAGATAGATAACTATCAAATCATTCTGAACACCTATGAATTCATCCTGAGGTGTAAGAAAAGAATTGCTGGAATTCTACAAATAGAAAAGCAACCACTTTTTGCAAGGTAGGAAGTGTGGAGAAGTGAATCTGAGGTGATATATCAGAAGATAATTGGTGGAGGGGAGGAAGCCTCTATAAGCCGGCTACCGGAAAGTGATATAGCCCCAGCGTGCAAAATCAGAACCTTTAGAAATATGCTCCAGTGAGAGATGTCCCTTCCTGAAAGGTGCTCAGGTGGTGAAGCTAGGCAGAATCCTTCCTGGGGCAGTGTGGTCCCAGGATCACTGGGGTCACAGAAAGAATGAGGATGCCTCAGCTGGCAGGGTTCCCAAGCATTGGCATGAGGAAACCAGTTAGGGTGAGTGAGCCTGGGACGAGGCTCTCAGCTCAGTTTGCCATAAACCACAAACCACAGCATGATGAAGTGATAGCCCTCTTGCAGAGCCTTGCAAAAGACAGAAGAGCAGAGGAACTCCACCTTCCCCTGGGAGGGGTAGCATGAGAGCTCGTGTGACCAGGCAACCACTCGCAGTGTGGGCGTACTGCAAAGGACAAAAATGCAGGGACCCTCCCTCCATTCCCCCAGGAGGATTTGTGCCAGGGTGCACTGCAGGAGACTGCAGAGTTTGGCACACAAGTGAAGACAGCTTGTACCTGAGGGTTTGTTGAAGAGAGGGGACTGCAGTATCTCAGCTCTGGTGATCGAGATCGTGGTGCAGCCATTTTTGTTTTCATCCTCTAGAGAGGTGGAAGGCCTGCAGGGGGAAAAAAGTCACATAAAGTAGTTTACACTGAGCATGGCCCCCTGGCAAGGAGCAGTCCAACTCCCCCCCTTGCAAGGAGAGCTGAGAATCAGTGCAGCAGCCTCCTCTGAGAAGACCAACTGAAACAACAGGGGAACACCAAGTTTATAGAGCACACAGGACTGCAAAACTCCAGGGCCAGGGGAAAATAATATATAGGGTGCCTGGGTGGCTCAGTTGGTTAAGCGTCTGCCTTTGGCCTAGGTTATGATCCCCAGGTCCTGGGATCGAGTCCCGCATCGGGCTCCCTGCTCAGCGGGGGGCCTGCTCCTCCCTCTCCCTCTGCCTGCCGCTCTGTCTACTTGTGCTCTCTCTCTATCTCTTTGTTAAATAAATAAATAAATAAATAATCTTTAAAAAAAAAAGAAAAGAATATATAGAATTCGAGGGGTTTTTTTTCAGTTTAAAATTTTCCTTTTTCTCTTTTTCAACTGGTTTCTTATTTTATCAACTCTTTTTTTAGGTCTTTTTTTAACTTTCATTTTTTACATTTACATTTTATAGATATATTCTTCGTTTTTTGCTTCCTTTCACTGTATTCAATTTTATTTTTTATTTTTATTTTTTAAAAGATTTTATTTATTTTTTTGACAGAGAGAGAGAGACAGAGTGAGAGGGAACACAAGCAGGGGGAGTGGGAGAGGGAGAAGCAGGCTTCCCGTGGGGTAGGGAGCCTAATGCGGGGCTCAAATCAGAACCCTGGGATCATGACCTGAGCCGAAGGCAGATGCTTAACGACTGAGCCATCCAGGCGCCCCCTCAATTTTATTTTTGTATGTATATAAGTTTTGCTTTCTTTACAATTTTGGGATTTAGTATCTTCTAACAGACCAAAATACACCCAGGACCAAGTGGATCACCATGTTTTGTCCACCTGGGAGATTATATTCTCTCTCCCCACTTTAAATTTCTTTTTCTTTTCTTTTTTGGTTTCTGACCTCTTTGGATTTGTCCATTGTGTGTTTTGCTTGGGTCATGATTGATATTTTTGATTTTGCTTTCTCGTTCTCTCTTCTCTGGGCAAAATGACTAGAAGGAGGAATTCACAACAAAAGAAAGAACCAGCGGTAATACTCTCTACCACAGATCTAACTGACATGGATATAAGTAAAATGTCAGAGCTGGAATTCAGGATAACAATTATAAAGTTACTAGCTGGGCTTGACAAAAACATAAAAGACACTTGAGAATCACCTAGTGCAGAAATGAAATCTAATCAGGCCAAAATTAAAAATGCTCTAACTGAGTTGCGGTCTAAATTGGATGCCCTAACAGCTAGAGTAAATGAGGCAGAAAAGAGAGTAAGTGACATAGAAGACAAGTTGATGGAAAGGAAGGAAGCTGAGGAAAAGAGAGAAAAACAACTCATGTACCATGAGGGGAGGCTTTGAAAAATCAGTGATGCCATAAAATGAAACAATATTAGAATTATTGGAGTCCCCAAGGGAGAAGAAAGAGAGAGGGGGGCCAGAAGGTATACTTGAGGAAATAATAGCTGAGGACTTCCCTCATCTGGGGAAGGAAAGAGGCCTTCAAGTCGAAGAGGTAGAGAGGACCCGTCCTAAAATCAATAAAAATAGATCAACACCCCGACATATAATAGTGAAGCTTGCAAATTTCAGAGATAAAGAGAAAATCCTGAAAGCAGCTAGATACAAGAGGTTCCTAACCTATAGGGGCAGGAACATTAGACTCACAGCAGACTTATCCACAGAGATCTGGCAGGCCAGAAAGGGTTGGCATGATATATTTAGGGTACTAAAGGAGAAAAGCATGCAGCCAAGAATACTTTATCCAGCAAGGCTGTCATTCAGAATGGAAGGAGAGATAAAGAGCTTCCAGGACAAACAGAAACTGAAAGAATATGTGACCACTAAGCCTGCCCTGCAAGAAAGAGTAAGGGGGATCCTGTAAGGGAAGAGAGAGCCCAAGAGTAATATAGACCAGAAAGAAACAGATAATCTACAGAAACAGGGACTTTACAAGCAATAAAATGGCACTAAGATCATATCTTCAATAGTTACTCTAAATGTAAATGGGCTAAATGTCCCAATCAAAAGACACAGGGCATCAGATTGGATAAAAAAAAAAGCAAGACCCATCCATATGCTGTCTACAAGAGACTCATTTTAGACCTAAAGACACCTCCAGATTGAAAGTGACGGAGTGGAAATCCATTTACCATGCTAATGGACATCAAAAGAAAGCTGGGGTAGCAATCCTTATATCAGACAAGTTTGATTTTAATCCAAAGATTATAATAAGAGATGAGGAAGGACATTATATCATACTTAAAGGGTCTATCTAACAGGAAGATCTAACAATTATAAATATTTATGCTCCTAACTTAGAAGCAGCCAATTATATCAACCAATTAGTAACCAAATTAAAGAAATATATTGATAATAATACAATAATAGTAGGGGACTTCAACACCCCACTCACAGCAATGGACAGATCATCTAAGCAGGTCAACAATGAAACAAGGTCTTTGAATGACACACTGGACCAGTTGGACTTCACAGATATATACAGAGCATTCCATCCGAAAGCAAAAGAATACACATTCTTTTCGAGTACACATGGAGCATTCTCCAAAATAGATCATATACTGGGTCACAAATCAGGTCTCAACTGATACCAAAAGATTGAGATTATTCCCTGCATATTTTCAGAACACAATGCTTTGAAACTGGAACTCAATCACAAGAGGAAATTTGGAAGAAACTCAAACACTTCGAAGCTAAAGAGCATCCTACTAAAGAATGAATGGGTCAGCCAGGAAATTAAAGAAGAATTTTAAAAATTCATGGAAACTAATGAAAATGAAAACACAGCTCTTCAAAACCTTTGGGATACAGGGGGCGGAGCAAGATGGTGGAGGAGTAGGACACCTGGATTTCGTCTGGTCTCAGGAATTCAGCTGAATAGGGATCAAACCATTCT